GTTTAAATCAGATAGTATATAATTTACTTATGACATTAAAGCTGGTATTAGACGATGAATGAAAGGTTAAAAAATATTTAGAAGACATTTCTGAATTGCTTTTTTTCATAATGTGTTTAAATTTTAAATATACACACGTGTATCATGGCATTTAAAACAATTTTTTAAAATTATGTTACAAGATCTAGTATTTATTTTTCTCAATAGGAATTAATATTTTGAAGTACAATTCACAGAAATATTATGTAATCGAATAAAAATGTATAACGTGAATTAAACAAATGTCCTATTCAATAATAGTTTAGATTTTACATTTAAATTGTTTATTTATATTATAAAATAAATGTTTATCATTGTTTTCATTAAATAAATAATTATTTTGAAAAGAATTTGTAAAGGAAGAGAAATAACTAATTACAAACATAGTTATTCCATTTTGTAGATTTGTAGAAAGAAAAATGGCTGATTTAGATATCATTTTTAAACACCATCTAAAAATAAGTATTTTGATATCATATAATTGCGTGATTAATAATGATCTAATTGAATGATTTAATTTTGTTTTTCAATTGAATCAATTAGTCTCATTTCTTGTCAGCTATATTTATTGAGTATGGGGAAAATCTAAACGTCCCATGAATATTTTTCCAATTGGTTTCCACGCTTTTGGTCATTTTCTCCATGTTTTGGTCGCAAATTTAAATTGAAATTTTTGTTTTATATTCTTCATTAAATTTTCACATTAAGATTTTTTAATATAAAAAAAAGAAACGAAAGAATTGTAAATTTTGTTTTTATTTTACTTACTATGTTATTTATTAAGAGAATGACATGTTGAATTTTTCATTATTTCCGCTTTTACAACATGTATTTTATGAAATGTTATTTATTCAAATAAGTTCTGTGTTATTAAAAATTTTAGACCTATATTTACTGTTATCTATTTGAACATCCTTTTCCCTTGACCTGATGCATAAAAATTAAACTAATTTTTTGTATTTTGATTATCTGTTTACATTCTCACTTTATAATTATAAAATTACATAATAAATTATGATATCATTACAGAGCTTTCGCAAATTAAATGTAATATTACCTTCACTATATTATAGTATTGTTCAATAGCAATAACAATTTGTACAAAATTTAAATCACATTAAAATTAAAATGTAGCCATATGCAAAAACTTTAGATTATGTAACATTAAATCCGTACTTATTCTTATTAATTTGATTAAAATTAATAAAATTTATTTTTATTTTTACTTTTATTTTTATACCTTTTTAATTGGTTGTTTTTTAATATTAGTTTAGTGGGTGGCTTATTTTTGTTCATTGAACATGTATCTTTTGCATAAAGAATAATTTTATAAGAGGATTTCTAACAAATTCTTATTACTGTATATTCACTTTTTTTTTCTTTTCATGTAGAAATTTTGTAAAGATCACAAAAAGTCGACTTCAACAAGTTCATAAAAATGTAATTCAGGAATATTATTTTTTAAGTCTAAAGACTGAATTAACAGTTATAATCTGAACGAAAATTATTATTATATTTACTGTTATCATTAATTTTAATAGTGTATCAAATTCAAAATCAAATTCATATTGATAGAATTTAATTGAAATTATGATTATTTTGGATTTTAAAAATTAAAATTTCATTTTTTACATAAAATGTTTTTCCTTCTTGTGTAAAAGTGTATTGCTTAGTTATATTAAGCTTAAACATTTTTGAAAATACTGTACATTTTATTTTTATAAATAAAATATATTTATTTGTTTAAGAAAACTGTTAAATTTTTATATTGTTTATGATTTATATACACTTTCTATACCTGAAATGTGTACATTACAAAAAGATATGACTATAATAAAACATAAGTGAATTTTAAAAAATACTTTTAAAATATTTTAAATTAAAATTTAATTTAAATTAGAACAAATCATTTATTTTAACATTGTTATAATACTGACATTTGTAAAAATATTTTAAAAATAATGAGATTCCGAATTGATAATTCTTTCTACTAGAAAATTCATTTTTCAAATACCAGGATAAAAATAATTATTGTTGATTGCAAAATATTAAAAATAATTCGCTACCATCAAATTTTAATTTATTTTCTCACAAATGAAATGATTTGTATAGGACAAACTATATTTCTGTAACTAATTTTGAATTATTGAAAAACTGGAAAAGTGAACACAGTTCAATATTGAAATTTTTTCCAGAAATATATATATACTGTACTCGTATAATGTTTATATTAAATTCTTTTCAGAATATTTAAGTTGTAATTCGTCCTAAAAATAGTTTTATATTTTTGGAAAAATTGGAAATTATCAATAGAAGATAGTTTGTAAATTTTGAAAACAGCACCTATTCTGTTAGTAAATTAAATTAATTAACCATTAAATTTAATGTATACGCACGGGAGGTGGCAACATGGGTCGAGAGTGTATGGAGGCGGGAAAAGAGACTGCTATGTTTGCAACTCCATAGAGCCAGTGTATGTACCAGTGTTTAGCTGTGTGTGAATAAAGATTTGTCCGTATTACTTGATCAGTTTTATCGTATTATCGAGACATATATACAGTGGAACCCCGGTTAACGACAAAATCGGTTAACGAACTTTTATTTTGGAAAAATTTTGTCTCGGATAACGAACTTAACGGCTTTTTGTGTCAAATTTGTAAGCTTGCTGACTTTTAGGGAAAATCAGTTAATTGTGTGCCGATGATAGTTAAGGTCCATTCGTACGTTGGTGGTGGCGGAGGAGACAAAGATGACAAGTATTTTACAGTGGAAATCATTTATTAGAACGGGAAGATGCTATATATTTAAGGTAGTTGGAAATGGCTTATCTACAGTATTTTCTCTCGGCACTGAGGAGTGGCGTATCGCTACGATAGTGCAAGCTGATCAGTCGTAGCCCCAGAGCGGACGAGATGGGTTCGCTTGGTCACAGAAACGATGGTAGGTGACAGAGCTGCAACAACTGGAGCGGTCCGCGAGACACAACACAAATTTTAGCGGGCACGACTTCAGGCTTAATCCAGATGAAGACGACACAGATTAATCGCCATAGAATTTTTAGGAAAACTGCGTTTTGACCTTGAGATTTGTGGTTTTTTATAGTATTTCTTCCTTGAATCTCACCTTACGATTAGTCCTGCGTCCCATTCCTCGCTTCCTGATTGTTTTCTTGTTTGTCTCCAGGTGAAAATCGAAACCAGATCAGGTCACGAGAAAAGTTTGTTCCGAGGCGTTTATTTGACACCTGTTCGTCGACTCTAATCAGAGATTGTTGATTCTTATTTTACTTCCGCCTTAATAAGCCTTTCGTTCATAATTTAGCCTATTGTTTCTGCTATATGTCATTTTAGAACTTTAACGATCGTATGTGATGTTTTTATACCCGCCAAATCTTTTCCCTTTTCCGAAAATTTAACCTAGATCGACTGTTTATGAGCACGTTTTCCTATATTTTTATTAAAGAAAACCCATTTTACAAATAAAATTTAAAAAATACTGACGGCTAAAACGGATTATTTGTATTTGCATTAATTTCTATAGGAAAAATTGCTTCGGTTAACGAACGGACTCGTGGAACGGATTATGTTCGTTAACCGGGGCTCCACTGTAATACTTACAGGCCTGCTAAATAATTTGCTGTGACGCGATTCTTAAGATTGTCCACTTTTTACATATACAGTACAAATATATAAATTATATATATGACATAGGTATGTATACAATTCATATAGTACAATTTACTTGAGGTAAAAAAATCGAAATGAAATCGTCACAACTATATTTTTTCAGCTATAAAAATTAAATTAGTTGTTAAATGAAGCTACAATAAATGTCATTTTTTAGACTACTCCTTGGAGAATTAGAGGGTCATTTTCCATATCCATGGTGGGTTCGATTAAGCCCACAATGAAGGCAAATAATAAAATAATATATGATTAATACGAGGCGACTCTGAAAGTTTTGTAACACAGAAATACTATAAGGCCAGAAACTAAATATTTTTTATGTTCAGAGTACTCTCCTCTGGCCAAAATGCACTTATGTAGTTGCTTTTTCCAAAGATCAAAAGCACGACGCCACTCATTTTCTGGAATGCTATCAAAATACTTTGCTAATGAAGCTTCAATTTCGTCCTCTGTGTTAAATTTGCAACTCCTTAAATGCTTTTTGAAATTAAAAAATAGCCAGAAGTCACACAATGCCAAATCTGGTGAATATGGTGGATGTTGAATGAATCTTATATTGTTAACTTGGAGGAAATCAACATGGAATATTGATAACTGTTCTTTTTTGTATAGAACAGTTAAGAATACATTTAAAATACAAAATTCTTTGGAATATTGAGCTATTTGAATCCAAAGAATAGTTTTCAGTAATATTACACCTACACAATTTAAAATAACAAGATAAAAAACGTTGGTTAAAGGTTGAAAACGTTCGTTACGGTTAATGAATAATTCTCAGTGAGATAAAATCTTTTTGTGTAGGTATAACCTGTCTAACACGGATCACTTTTCAAATATTAATATTAGACCAATATTAATTAGCAGTCGTTTACCGTCCTCTCTTCCGGAAGGAAGTCAACGACTACTTTTGCTCGAATTACTTCGAACCCCTTCTGCAATTGCCCGAAGTGACGTAGTAAAAATTTGGAAAAAATAATAAATGTAACGCGAAAGATTGCATTTAAAGCCACAAGGCTTTTAAATCTTTAATCGTACGGTGGCAACAATCTTGCGGATTTCTTCCATTTCACTACTCATTATTAAAGTCTTATCTAGCAAGCTATAATCTTTTATGCAGTTGCATTGTTACTTATTTAGAATATAAATTAAAATTATTATTATAAAATTAATTATTTATTAGATGGGGCCTTATAACTTATTACAATTAAAATCAACGAAATTGAAGGAAAAAAAAATTTAAAAATGACAACTTAAAAGAAATTGCAGGTGGCGTATTATTGTTTTGAAAGTTTGTGCCAGTCTCAAATGTCCTTATTGCAGAAATGGAGATTTGGGAAATTCAAACTATGATGTAGATGTAACGGTTTAAAATGACTTCGTTAGCCGATCGAGAAGCGACAAAAAGCGATTCAGAGCATTCGGTAATAATTTTAGACAATAATGACAGCGAAGAAAAGACGAGTTCGGAAGAACCCGAAGAAACGTCAGAAAAATCAGATAATCAAGAGCTGAGAGAAGAACTAAGAAGACTTAAATGTGAAAATATCCTAAATTAATTTGTTTTTTTTTATGCATTAATTATTTTTAACAGGTGAATTTAAAACCTGTATTAATGTTTAGCGCTTTGAAAGAATATTAAATTATTATTTAGTAATCTTTCAAACGTTCATCGTCGAATTTAGAATCATCGAATAAATTAAATTACCTGTAAAATAATTTATTAATGGATAAATTAATTTGCATTAATTTTAAAGAAAATTTGAGTTTTACAAATATTGGTTTTAAATCAATAAAATTATTAATGTTTTAATAAATAATTTCTTGACTCATATTTTTTTCATTTTAACTCATTATTGTTATATGTATGTATATACAGGGTGTCCCAAAAGTCTCCATACAGTGACACAAATCAAACCCACCAGTGGCCAAATAAATAAAACCACTGAACACTGGTAGTGCGTCATTGGTTCGTTCCTGACCAATGGGCTGGCCACCGTGAGTTTTCGTGTGTCTAAGAGTGCAACTATGCAGATGCATGCGAGCGATAATACGTGGCAAGAAGGAGTGAGATGCGATAAATATCAAATTCTGTTTGATATCTGCGAGAACCAGAAATTCGCTCTTGCCAGTAATATTTCTCGCTTCTTGCTTGTGCATGGTTTTCCTCTGCGAGAACTATATCGCTTATAACCTTTCGCTTGCTAGTAAATTCATGTCTACATAGTCCCAAATGTCTAAACAGAATCCAGTTTCTACATAGGAAGTCCTGCTAGAAATTATCCCATTGGCAAATCACCTATGTGTTCTATTACCTTACTCCATCAATCCACTGACACAAATCTTAATGCTGACATTTTAATGTTTTGTGAATAAAGTTACATTTTACCTCTGCATGTATGGAAACTTTTGGGACACCCTGTATATAAATTTTCAAACTTTAAAACATTTTACAATTTTGTTATTAGAGGTTATTTAGAAAACACACTTGTAGAAAAACTGGAAACACATAAACCAAAATATCAATAACTACATCTATACTTTGTTTGGATTAAAACATTGCTGGAAAAGTATAGAAGGTGGAGTTATATTTTGGTTATTTAGGAAATCATAATTACAGATGTTGAAAACTAGATTACTTTTTTTTCTTTGGAATTAGAATTTAAGTAGATATTTTAAAAAGTTACACAAAAGCTTACTATACAGTAGAAATTATTTTGTTTTTTCATTCATTCACTTAAATTCATAATTACACATATAATTCTTTTATGTAGCTTTTTGTTCAGATTCTACTTTAAATCAAATTTTACTGAATTCAGTTCTAATCTTTAATGATGTAATATTTAAGGTCCATTAGATTTTTCAAAATTTTAGTTCAAATGTATGATTTTAATAGTTATTATATATATATATAGTATAAAAAAAAAATCTAATTCATATTATTGAAAAATTATATTGTATTATATTTCCTTATCGGGTTGTGAATTGTAGGTCTTCCAAAAGATTAAACTGTATTTAAAATAAAATACAGGTAACCCCGTATAACACGGTAGTTACGTTCCAAAAAATTGCCGTGTTATGCGAATCCGTGTTATGCGAAACAAAGAACTAGTACGAAAAGGAGGGTTAGGTTCCAAAAATTAAAAAACATGCTACTATATTTTCATAATTAAGATAAATATCTTTATTAAAATTTTCTTAAGTGATACATATTAATATAAATTAAACAATGTTTTCTTTGTCATCACTAAAAGCACTATTAACCGAGAGCGTTTTATTTTTGGCAAGTTATCGTTATCCTCTGAGCATTTTTCTGCATTATTTTCAGATTCATGCTTTACCTTTTGCAAAAAGTGTATGTAATTTTAGATTGCTTGCTTCTAGTTAAAAGATCTTTATAAATTTCCTTATATGGTGCTAAGCACTTATGGAATAAGGGAAAAACATCTGGCAACACTAGAAGCAGAAGCGTCGAGATATGGCAAAATTGAAACAATTTTCACAAAGGACCATGTGTATGTAGATGAGAAAAGAAAATTTATACACTGAAGTACTAATAGTTAATGAACTATTAGTACTTAAGTATGTAAAAATTTATTACATTTCATGTTGTACGTGGGTTTTACCCATTTCTCGAACCGTTTCAGAGTGAATCCGTGCTATAAAAGTACCGTGTTATACGGGGGATGGTACCAATTCTCAAACCGTGTTAGAGTGAATCCGTGCTATAGAAGTGCCGTGTTATACGGGGGTTATCTGTATAAGGAACTTAAGGAGTTTGACAATAATAATGAAATATCTAAGATCTTGTTTATAAAGTTATGGATAAAAAATGCAATGATTGATTCATTTCTAAATATCATTAGAAAAATATAAATACATATCTATAAATTGGTAATTAGTCAGTATTTTACAAATGAATGTAGATTATGTTCCTGCTTAGAACAGTATATTCTTTTTAGCTTGGATTTTAATGTTTGGATGAACAATGGGTTTAATAGGCTTGATTTATATTTTGAATATTTTTTGTTTATTAACAAAATTAGTCATTTATTACATGAAATAAAATTTGAGGAATTGAATCATACTTTAAAAATACTGCTAATATTCAGATGTATAAATTGATTATATGATTTTAAAAATTTTAAGATTTCTAGTTTTAAAAAACAAATTGAAGTTATTTCAGTTGCATAAGATTGTTTGAGTCTGTTTTTTTAATTAATTGAAAACATGATTTTATAATTTAGTATTTTATTTAAAGTAGAACATTCTAATTGAAGTAATTTTTTATATAATTAGATCTGAATAGCAATTATATCTGATTTTCAAAAAAATATTTACAAATAGAACACACATTCACATGTGCTTTATTTTTTGAGGTATAAAATTTATAATAAAAGTTAGATAATAATTAGTTTCATTCTAAGGGAAATAATAATAATAATAATTTCTGTTAATAATTTGTCATTATTATAAATTTATATAAAACTTCTAAAAGATGGACAATAAATTAAAAATAAAACTTAATTTTTATCCATTTAAATTTTATGTATCATGTAATATTAGATTTGGAATGACAAGTTATATATGTAATGATAAGATTGAAATCTACCAAATTACAAATGTATATGAAAAAATGTAGACTACTTATGAAAAAAGACTTTTTGTAATAATTATAAGATTAAAAATTTTTACAATCAAAATAAAAATTAACTAAATGTGGATAAATTAATAGGTTTTTTCATATATTAGACGGGATATCTGCATTAAGCTGTTGTTAGAATGACAGATGCAGACATTCTGCTTAACATAAATGTGTGATAATTACTCAATAACAAATTTATTTATGATATTTAATTCTTGTGTTCTCTTATTTGTTTTTACAATTACTAAGGTTTCTTTTTAATTTTAAATTTATAATTCCATTACAGAATGTTGTTATATATACAGTATTTGTATGTAAAATGTTAAACCAAAATTTGTATTTATAACCTTGTAATTTATCATTTAACACTAGTTATGTTTAAAATAGAAGTATATATTTGATTTTGGTACAAAAGACTTCCATTTGTAATTAAGATACTCTGTTCGTGTTGGCCATTGCCCATTACCTGATGAGTCTAAAGATGAACTCTCATTAATAATAGATTTTCTTTGTGACAGTTATTAAATCTTTGGATGTTTAGAACAGGTCCTTATTTTTCAATCGTTGAAAATTAAGGGTTAAAGTACCTTCTAATCAAAGTAAAAATAGGCTTCTGGTCAAAATAATGGTTAAAGTACCTTAGTGATATATTTTCTAAGTAATCTCATAGTAACTTAAAATCAGATCTTTAGATCTCAAGACTGGTTGATTTCTTTTGTCTTTATCATGTCCACTCTGATTTTTATTAGATTAAATATTTTCAAAGGAGATTATTATATTTTATTAACTCTAATCTATACTAATATTATAAAGAGGTAATGTTTGTATGTATGTATGTAAGTTTGTTTGCAGCAGGTAATATCCGAAACTACTCATCCGATTTCAAAAATTCTTTCACCAATATTTGGAATAGAACCTCAGGGTGGACATAGGCTGTATATTATTCCGTTAAACATTAATATAAATTAAAATATATAATCTAGGTTAAGGCTTTTATGTCCAATGGATGGCACTACGAGTACAACGCCCTAAGTTTGCTTTTCTGTGAAAATGAACTAAAGCAGATCATCTTCTATCTATCTATATAAATAAAAATGTAATGTTCATTTGTTCCTACCGATTCCTTTGAAATTTTGACACAATGCTGCATTCGAATACACACGTGTTTTTATATAATATACGTGTCGAAATTCCCCCCACTGAAGGGAGATGGTTAGGATTAAGGCTTACCGTAAAGAACTCTGCTTCTATTTATACTATTTTAGATGCGGTTTTTTGCGTTTTAATAGGGTATGTCGACAGAATGTACACTAAGAAGAAATTTTGGGAAAAATTCCCCCCACGGGGAAGTGTTATAAATTTATAATAGATACATTTTGAGCCACAAGTCGTGGTGGAGTCTGCTAGTTTTGAATATTTGAAATAGTTGTGAGTATTTGATAAACTAAGTGGTGCATGTTCATTTAGTTATTTGTGTGAAACAAACTGTACTTTTGCATACATTTTTAATAACTTGCTGTTAACATGTTATACTATCAAAATGATGGACCCACTGATTGGTAATCAGTCACTTGGCTCACCCTATTCTGAGGAGTTTTAATGTTTTCATAAATTTCTGTGCAACCTGGCAACCTACAGTAGAAGTGAGAGTTTATTTTTTGGGTGATGGACTATATCACTGGTGATCATTGAAATTGAGTGAGACCAGAGTCTTTAAACAAGCAACTCTTCTTCCACAAAAACTTAGTCATTTTTAATTATTTCATAATCTATTCACATTTCGTTAAAAATCTCAATATTATTTAAAATCAAATAAAGTGACTAAATATTAATTCTGACTTAATAATTATTACAATTAAAGTTAATAACTGAACTTTGATCAATTTTGTGTGCATTTCAT